TTATTATAGGTGTATCATATATTACAGGTGTGTCATATATTACAGGTGTATCATATATTACAGGTGTGTCATATATTACAGGTGTATCATATATTACAGGTGTGTCATATATTACAGGTGTGTGATATATTACAGGTGTATTATGTTATTATAGGTGTGTCATATATTACAGGTGTGTCATATATTACAGGTGTATCATATATTACAGGTGTGTCATATATTACAGGTGTATCATATATTACAGGTGTGTCATCTATTACAGGTGTATTGTGTTATTATAGGTGTGCATGCCGTGTGTGCTGCTGAGTAAGAAGAGATATGTGAGCTACGCTTGGGAGAGCGTCGACCAGCAAGAACCCACGTTCGATGCCAAGGGCATAGAGACGGTGCGCCGCGATGGCTGCCCCCTGGTGTCAAAGGTAGGCAACTTCCCCTCTTCCTCAGTATCAACGTCTTCCCCTGGTCGGACCCTTCTTTCGGGTTCTTNGCCAACCGTGACCGTTCCAACCAAATGCCAACGTTGGCCCAACGTTGGCCAAACGTCATATTGCCAACCGTGACCGTTCCAACCAAATGCCAACGTTGGCCCAACGTTGGCCAAACGTCATATTGCCAACCGTGACCGTTCCAACCAAATGCCAACGTTGGCCCAACGTAAGCATGCTATCTGGGTACGTCCCTGATATATTTAGCGTTTTCTAACGTTTGTATCGCTATTTCCTATTGTTTTCAACAAACGTGTATAGTATAATAATTATATAGTTAAGCGATTAGTAATACCAGAGCACGTATATTATATGTGCTCTGGCAATACTGTACCATAGAAATATATATTATATAGACACCTATATAGAGTCTACCTATATTATTTCAAGAGTAGATAATAACATTAATAAGAGTAATGTTATTATCTACTCTTGATTATTTCTATGGGTAATACATCGTTTTATCAGACAAAAACCCACGCAGTGCACTCTGGGAAATTTGTTCTTGAACAACTTTTCGGGTGATGTAGACATCGCCTTTTGCCAAAATCCTGGTTTGCAATGGCAGCGGTCGTCATTAAAAAGGTACACTTCGAAGTATTATACTACTTTAAACGTGTCATTAACGGTAGTAGCCTCTACTCTAGAGGTTCGGCAACATCATTCTTATTATATTATTATTATTAAATGTTCATTCTATATAATTTAAATACAAGTACGTGTACTCAAATTCAATACAGTTCTCTTTCTAACAAAATGTGACCTAACACTAAACAGTAACAGCACCTAGCCTATTTACGTTTGTTTACAATCATCATTGAAACAGCTGAAGTGCTTGTGGGGCACATGTTAGCCCATGGTACGATAGAAATATCTTAGCCGGTAAATTAAACATTTTGGCTTTAGTTACCCACTCTAAACTTAAACTCACATCACCAAAGTTTGGCCAAATTATGTTCTTTTTCCTTCTTTAAAATAATATCTAACCGTTTTCAGACAACTGGGTTGACCGGTCTAGCAGTACACCGAAATCCACACCATGTAAGTTGGTTTATATATCCAGATTAAGAGAGAAGGGTCTGGATTCATTTAAATTAGAGTGTGCATAGAATAAATTGAGGCCCAAAATAAATGCACTAGGCAGTAAAGGTGTCATGAACAGGTGGCAAATGGGAATATTAATGAATGAATACAGTTGTGAGTATGATTGAAAAGGAAGTTTGCTAGTTCTATGGTTTCAATGGTTTTATTTTCAAAATTAGAAATTTTGGAAAATCAGAACTAGTTAGACAACTTACACTGCTAGAGTCGTGTTCACGTTAGAGTACATGTGCTCATGCAACTAATAAAGGTCCATAGTCAAGGGTGGCGCCAGGGTATTTTCTTAGGGGGGGCGAAAGCAGGGGCGTGTACAGGAGCACGCGAAGGGGGGGT